CCACAATGTTTCCAAAGGTCACACCCTCCCTGTGAACCTAACATTTATCTGAAGACTTGTGGCAGGAACCACTAATCTCAGAGTAAGGCCATTCCAGCTGTGAGGAGGTCTGGAGGTGAAGGAGGGACCTAGCCAGGTGCAGGAACTTGGGCAAAGAGCTCCTCCCACAGGTAATAAAAGAGATAAAGGAGAAAACCAAGAAGCTTCTGAGGAAGTAAGATCTGCTTTATCTTCCCTATGTAACACCCTGCTCCAATACACCTTTCTCCAGTTCCTTCACCTTTTATACAAGTTACAAGTTTTATACAAGTTACTTCACATGGCTTGTAGACAGCAATATTACAGCTCTTCTGTGTAGCCTATGATTCGATCTAATCAGGCTTGGAATTAACTACCTCTATTGTTTATGAGCTTTGTGATCTTAGACAAGTTCATCTCTCTGAATGCCTCAAACTCATTACTACTGATTAATGGTAGAAATTATTATAAAGCAGGAATAATTATAACCTATGCCTTGGAGAGCTGTTTTTGCAGCTAAAATAAGAAAATGCAAAGCCAGGCACTGGAGGCTCATGCCAGAAATCCTAGCTCAGAAGTCTGAGAAGATCTAGGTATAAAGCCAGCTCAGGAAAAAGTCTGAGATTCCATCTCCAATTAACCAGCAAAAAGCAGGCCTGGAGGTATTGCTCAAGTGGTAGAATACTAGCTAACACGAGACTCTGAGTTCAAACTCTGGCAGTGGCAAAAGAAAAAAAGGAAACATAGCTACAAGATGCTTGTAGACGTTATCAGCATTATGCAAACAGTAAATAACAACACAGACAAATGAAGTTAAAATCTTTTTATTACCTGCTTACCTCTCTAGTGTCACCACTTTCCAGAATGCAGTCATCTAGAAAGTAAATTGTTTACCAGTCTCCAGTGGAGGCTTCCCAGTAGCTGGCACATAGATGCAGGCACTCAATAATCTGCAGAAGAAATGTGTGTTCCCTTTGCATAGTTACTTCCGCCAGCAAGCCTAACTCAAATCTGTAAATGGCTAAATTCTCACCCACCGCATCTTGTACAACACATGCTTTGCAGACCTACCACATGCTACAGACACCTGTGTGCACTGCTTCTTCTCCAGACCTACTAGGTCTGACACATTCCCAATGCCTAGCACATGGTAAGTGCTCAATAAAGACTGCATTTCAGTAAGGCCAGTTAACTGCCCCTCTGGCTGGAACCTGAAACTCTAACATGTCCCATCTGGCAGCCCTTCCCAGCAGGTTTGGCAAGCAGCTGGTGGATAGTTATCTTAGCCCAGACCCCTCTCCTCCAGAATCAAACTCTGGGTTTTGTTCCTGATGGGGAGAATCTTGAAATTCTTGCTCATCAAAACTCTTTCATCTAATGCTTCAGGGCATTGGCAGTTTTCTCCTAAACTTGGTCACACGAGACAATAGTGACAATTGTCATGCCTCACTGAAGAAGTGAGGAACTCAGTGACCCAAGAGCCTAGACACTAAGGGTATAGACACAGCTTCTGGCAGGCCGCCCATTAAGAGTTGCATCAAGCTAGGCACTGGTGGCTCACGCCTGTAATCCTAGCTACTCAGGAGGCTGAGATCTGAGGATCATGGTTCAAAGCCAGCCCGAGTAGGAAAGTCTGTAAGACTCTTATCTCCAATAAACCACCAGAAAACTGGAAGGGCATTGTGGCTCAAGTGGTAGAGAGCTAGCCTTGAGCTGAAGAGCTGAGAGACAGCGCCCGGCCCAGAGTTCAAGCCCAACGATCAACAAAATAAACAAATGAAAAGAGAGTTGCATCATTTTGTTTTGACTCTCAGACATTAGCTTTAAAATGGCAGGAATAGAACACACCCCATTTTCCCAAGTGTTTTTTTTCCCCCACCACTTCGTTTTCTGGTGGTTAATTGTGATCCTCAGATCTCAGCCTTCTGAGTAGCTAGGATTACAGGTGTGAGCCACTGGCACCCAGCTTTCTCGTTTTTTTTTTTTTTTTGTCGGTCATGGGCCTTGAACTCTAGGTCTGGGTGCTGTCCCTCAGCTCTTCAGCTCAAAGCTAGCGTTCTACCACTTGAGCCACAGCGTCAATTAATTGTGATCCTCAGATCTCAGCCTTCTGAGTAGCTAGGATTACAGGTGTGAGCCACTGGCACCCAGCTTTCTCGTTTTTTTTTTTTTTTGTCGGTCATGGGCCTTGGACTCTGGGTCTGGGTGCTGTCCCTCAGCTCTTCAGCTCAAAGCTAGCGTTCTACCACTTGAGCTACAGCGTCAATTCCAGTTTTCTGGTGGTATATTGGAGATAAGGTTTTTTTGGGGGGGCTCCGGTCGTGGGGCCTGAACTCTGGGCCTGGGCGCTGTCCCTCAGCTCTTCAGCTCAAGGCTAGCGCTCTACCACTTGAGCCACAGCACCACTTCTGGCTTTTTTCTTTTTGCTTATGTGGTGCTGAGGAATCGAACCCAGGGCCTCATGCATGCAAGGCAAGCGCTCTACCACTGAGCCATCTTCCCAGCCCTGGAGATAAAGAGTTTTACGGACTTTCCTGCCCAGGCTGGCTTTGAACCACGATCTTCAGATCTCAGGCTCCTGTGTAGCTAGGATTATAGGTGTGAGCCACCGGCGCCCGGCTTCCCCTGTGGTTTTAAGAGTCCCTAGACAATGATATAGTTCCACTGGAGTTCCTTGGAGAGCCCAACAGCTGAGAAAGAATTAGGAAGCAACTATCCCAATAGAGTTACTAAGGGGCCAGGACAGGGTTCTAAGGTCAAAGGCAGCAGGGGTCGTACCTGGCAAACTGAATTTTTTTTGTATGCCAAATGGCAGTAGGATCTGAACTCAGGGCCTCACATTCAATCAGCTTGCCTATTTAGCTGGCACTCAACTATTGGAGCCATGACTCTAGCTTGCCTTTGGCTAGTCAATTGGAGATGAGTCTCAAGGACTTTTCTAGCTAGGCTGGCTTCCAACCGAATCCTCCAGATCTCAGCCTCTTGAGCAACTAAGATTACAGGTGTGAGCCACTGGTGCCTGGCTAACTTTGGGCTCTTGAAACAATCGGACTGGTTAGTGAGTAAACTCCAGACCTACACTCACTGCCAGCAATCAGTGGAGCTGGCCAATGGTAAGCATACCACTTGGGGTACAAGAGCCCCCTTTTGGGAGGCTTACTTTGCCTAGACATTAAGCAGCCTGAAGACAGGAAGTACTGGGCAGTAGTCTTTCCCCAGGAGAGGTAGTCAGCTGCCCTTTCCCATTGCCTTTGTTCAGGGATTTATTTACACCTGTCTCAAAATTCTAAGAAGGATCTTCAGCAGAATTAAAATGAAATCTGACTTAAGAAAGCTTCGCTGAGCCAGGCACTGGTGGCTCACGCCTGTAATCCTAGCTACTCAGTAGGCTGAGATATGAGGACCATGGTTCAAAGCCAGCCTGGCCAGGAAAAACCTTGTGAAACTCTTATCTCCAATTAAAAAACACCAGAAAAGGGCTGGGAAGGTGGCTCAGTGGTAGAGCGCTTGTCTTGCATGCATGAGGCCCTGGGTTCAATTCCTCAGCACCACATAAGCAGGAAAAAAAAAAGCCAGAAGTGGCGCTGTGGCTCAAGTGGTAGAGCGCTAGCCTTGAACTGAAGAGCTGAGGGACAGCTCTCAGGTCCAGAGTTCAAGCCCCATGACCAACAACAACAAAAAAGCTTCACTGGCCCACAAGGGGCTCTCCGATTACCTCAAGAACAGAACCCAGGCCCTGCTTAGCATCTTTATACCAGAAACCATTGTCACACTCCTCCTGGAGACTCTGTACCATCACTCCATCCCAACCTACCTACCTCATGTAGTTATTAGCTAGTTCATACAGGTCTGCCTTTGCCTTCCTAACTGTAATTTAAGTTCTAGAGATCCAGGGCCTTGCCATTTATTTCACATTTCCTTGGCATCCAGGAATGAGCTGGGCACCAAGTGAGAAAACTCATATATATATATATATATATATATATATATATATATATATATATATATAATTTTTTTTATAATTTTTTTTTTTTTTTTTTTGGTCAGTCGTGGGGCTTGAACTCTGGGCTTGGGCGCTGTCCCTCAGCTCTTCAGCTCAAGGCGAGCACTCTACCACTTGAGCTACAGCGCCACTTCCAGTTTTCTGGTGGTTTATTGGAGATAGGAGTCTCACGGTCTCTCCTGCCCGGGCTGGCTTTGAACCGTGATCCTCAGATCTCAGCCTCCTGAGTAGCTAGGATTACAGGCGTGAGCCACCAGCGCCCGGCTCAATTTATATTTTATATATTAAATTCCAGAGCCAAGCCAGGCACCAGTGGCTCACGCCTGTAGTCCTAGCTACTCAGGAGGCTGAGATCTGAGGATCAAGGTTCAAAGCAGCCCAGGCAGGAAAGTCTGTGAGCCTCTTATCTCCAATAAACCACTAGAAAGCCGGAAGTGGCACTGTGGCTCAAGTGGCAGAGCACTCGCCTTGAGCTAAAGAGCACAGGGAACAGTGCCCAGGCCCAGAGTTCAAGACCCACAACAAGGGGAAAAAAAAATTCGAGAGCCAAGCACTCACCCATTTCTGCCTTATGGACAAAAGAGACCTCTGAGTGCTTGTCTTGGGCCATACACCTTTTGTGGTTATTTTTCAAAGAAGGTCTCGTGTCTATGTGCTCCTAGCTATGTGTCCACCATAGCTAGACTGACAGACTTGAACCACTGTGTCAGCGCACTTTTACATGTTCTGCTTATGTAGTGGTTATCTGACATAATCTGTTTCTGATTCTGAAGGGTCTGATTTGACATCAGAAACACAGTTTGGAGGGCGGACTCAGCAGCAGCACCCAGGCTGCCCCTGGCTGTGGTTTGTTTGGTCTAGCACCCTGTTCTCAACTGCTGTGACACCACTGGGTCACTTGGGGTCTTGTGGTGGGACTCCCTGAAGTCTGAGAAAGAAGAAAGAGGAAGAAAGTGTTGCAAGAGTAAAGTGCAGGAGCTGTTTGGGATTGAATTTTATTTGGGCTTCTCACAGTGGCTAGAGCCACTCTGTCTTCAGAACAATCACAGCACAGGAAATGCGTCACCAGGACTGCCCAGAAAAGTCTGACCAGCTGAATCTTATTGCTTAAAATACACATATTCACAATAACTGACAAATGGGGATGTGCCTCTTACAGGAATGTGTTAGCATTTGCAAATCTTCCAGCTGTAGCACCAAACCCTCCACCAACCCTTTCCTTCCCATTCACCTAGCTCAATCGAGACACAAACCAGACTCAATCTAAGTCTACTCTGGCCCCGACTCTTCCCTCAGTTCCCCACTGCCAGCTCTCACTTGCTCTTTCTCAGCAGCAGCGACCAGACTGTGACTTCACCATCAAGCTCAGCTCAGCCGTCGCCTTCTTCTCAGGCCTTCAGGACAGGACGCTGCAGCAAAGCCAACAGTCACACTCAGGCCGTGGTGAGTGACTGGGGAACAAAGCTTGAGAGGGTCAGAACTCATCATTTGACCAGGTAAGTGAAGGAGGATTTGTTCTTGCTCTCCTCTGAGCCACTTCAGTGAGTTTAGGATTTAAAGAAGGTGGCACGACAGGGAAGGGCTGCGGCTGCACTCCACACCAGCCTGTTGGAGCCTGTCAGGTGTCGTGGAGGACAGTGCGGACTGTGGCACCGAGGTGTCTGCCAATGCCTCCTAGCAATTCTTGACAGTCAAGCTCTGGGCCATAGCCGGTTCAAGCTCATCACTGAAGATCCAACCAAGCTCCTGTCCCCAGTGGCTGTGGACACTCTTGTGGGCTGACGTGGAGGGCAAGGATCAACAGAGGAAGGCAGATGGGTTCGGAGCATGTTTCCATGTACAGGGAAGAGAACACAGGCCTCTGAGTGTCCACGGAGCAATGTGCAAATTGCAGTGATTAGAGCGAAACCTCTCCCTGGAAAGCAGTGTCACTGGCAAACACAGGCGGCTGCCACCAACATGCTGCTGAATACACCCAAGTACACAGGCAGATGTTTGTTCGGTAAACAGTAAATGCGTAAAATAAATTACCTTGAGAGGGCCATACCTGCTCCAGATGTGCCTAACGTGAGCAGAATGGCTGCCGTTCAAAGTAGCTTCACAGAAACACAGGGCTCGGAGCTCAAACACAACATACACCACACAACACGGACATATAGATATACACATATACACATACATACACACACACACATCACTCAAAGTCATTGTGTACAGACTTCACTTTGTTCGACATGGATTTTGGTTTTGTGGCATCCAAATGCAGACACTCATTCGCCTCACAGTCTTGGATTTGTCTGTTTTTGTATATATATCTATTTTTTTCTCTTTTTGTTTCTTACCATATTGTCAACGCCTAGTCTGAACATCATCATTCAAGAGTGGAGGAAGAACCAAACTCTCATGAACAGGGTTGGACGGGGAATGTTAATTTCGGCAGCTTGCTTCTTTCCGAGTTTTCCTATCAAAGCTCTACTGGTTCTCTGAAGGCAAACAATAACAAGGCTCTGTGGTCCTGCTGGAGGCAGCCCTCCATGCCGGCCCAGGGCCCCTGGGACTCTACACAGGCTACAGGAAAGTGAGGCATCCCACTCAAAAGGGGCAGCAACAGGCCAAGAGAACCACAGATAACCAAGGTGTCTCTTCCAAAGTGGTCGGTTGAAAACAAACAAGACTTAGAATCAAAGAGAAAATACTGAGAGCCAGGCTAAGGGGCTGCCTTTCCCAAGATGCACAGCTTCTGCAGTCCATCTGTTCACAAAGGACAGAAAGATACAAAGGCCCGCAGACCATGTGCTTGGGATGAATAAGGACACCGCTCACCTGTGGGCACAGGCCACAGGGCAGAGATGCAGGCAGCTGCACCTGTGTCTACCCTGCTGCTCACAGAAAGCGCAGAGCCACCACCATGCAGGCCTGAGCCCATTCCCTTCTGAATCCACTGCAGCTAGGCTCTTTGAAGGCCATCTTGTCCAGAAGCGAACTGCCACCTGCCCACTGGTAATGTTCTTGTTTTCAACTGGCTTTTGTTACTTGTTGGACAGTATAACCTGAATCAGCTCAAGCCAGTAGAGCTACTCCTCAAGATGCACAGCAGTGCACTGAATTTGTCATCTGGGTTTTCAGAGCCCAACAATCCACCTGTTAACCTACTTGCCTGGCAGCTCTCATCCTTCTACAGGCTTAGCTCAATGCCAGCTCTAGATACTGGCAGCCCCAAGTGGCAATGCCTAAGCCCCTGGGGGCTTCCTTCTTCATGCAAGGCCAAGATGAGCTGCCTCTCCTGGACTGAGATACAGCAAAGTTCTCTTAAACTAAAACCAAGCATAAATCTACTCCATCACCAAGGATCCTGTCAGGGTACAGTCCCAGCCCCAACTCCTTAGGGGCTTTTTGAAACACACATCTCCCTGACCCAAGCAGATGGGTGAGATACTACTTGAAAACGGAAGAAGGACACGAGAAAGGGGTATGAGTGACAGAACCAGCTACTCAGTCCTCCACAACACTGCGCTTTTGTGGGGGGAAGGTATCCACACCCCAAACTGTACCTGTAGATGTAGGAAATGTAGGAGAGAAAAACAAACAAACAAAAAGAGAACAAAGTGGCGGTACCACTTCTTCTGAAAGTCACTTAATGCTTCTCTCGTGGGTCTTCTCTGCCCTGGTCACTTGCCGAATTCTCAGGTACAGGCAAGGCCTGCTCTAGCTGGGGGAGCTGCTACTCTGGGAGTTTGGGGAGTCCTGCTCATTGATGGTGTTCAGCAGCAGGCACGCGGGTGGCCGTGGCAGGTGGGGGTGCCCAGGCTCTCGAGCCTGCTCCTCAGAGGGCTGGCAGAGCCCTTCCTCCTCATCGATAGGAGGTCGCACATGGCAACTGTCACAGAAGTCCAGGGGACCATCCAAGGCATCATCAATCAGTGTACTGAACTCTTTGAGGTCATCATCATGGTGGCCCCGGTTGCACACGCACACCTCAATGCCCGAGTCACCTGTGAAGCGGCGATGTCTGCCGGGTGTCTTGTCTTTGCTGTCAAGGAGTGCACCACCATGCTCTGAGCTGGAATCTTTTAGCAGCTGCTCCTTACATTCTGAATCCTTGTCCAGGAAGGCCTCGGGGTCCAGCTCCCCAAGGCCAGCCACTGAGCCACTAGGTTCCATTCCCGGGGCTTTATTGGCTGCTTGGTCAGCTGGCACGTCAGAAGGCTGAGGGTCAGAGGTGCTTGGGGATCTCGTGCTGCTTCCACTGGGCCGAGCCAAGGGGCTGCTCTGTGCCCCCTGAGAACCCCAGGTGGGATCAGCACTTGGGGGGCTGCCACCTGCAGGGCCACACTGAGGTGGCAGCGGCTGCTGCTGCTGCTGCTGCTGCTGTAGTTGGAAGGCACTATACGGTGGGGGAGGAGTCGGAGGTCGGTTCACCACTTCCTCATAAGGAGGTAGTAAATAGTTTGGCAAAAACCCTAAAATGAAGAGGCAGGGAGGAAAAATTACTGCATAGGCCATCAACCTAGGACTAAACACTGGCACTGTCCCTTCCCACTCCTGTGGTAGAGCCAGAACGTGGTGACTATGGCTCTTGGTTGTGGGCAGTGGAGAGGGCTACAATCAACTGTGCACGAAAAAGGGACAGTTGGACTTCTTTTTTTTTTTTTTTTGGTGGTCATGGGACTTGAACTCTGGGCCTGGGCAATGTCCCTCAGCTCTTCAGCTCAAGGCTAGAGCTCTACCACTTGAACTACAGTGCCACTTCTAGTTTTCTGGTGGTTTATTAGAGATAAGAGTTTCACAGCCAGGCTGGGAAGGTGGCTCAGGTGGTAGAGCGCTTGCCTTGCATGCCTGAGGCCCTGAGTTTGATTCCTCAGCACCACATAAGCAAAAACAAAAAAGCCAGAAGTGGCGCTGTGGCTCAAGAGGTAGAGCGCTAGCCTTGAGCTGAAGAGCTGAGGGACAGCACCTAAGCCCAGAGTTCAAGCCCCATGACCGGACCACCCCCCCCCCCCAAAAAAAAAAAAAAAAAAAGAGTTTCACAGCCTTTCTTGCCCAAGCTGGCTTTGAACTGTGATCCTCAGATCTGAGCCTCCTGAGAAGCTAGTATTACATGTGTGAGCCACTGGCGCCCGGTAGCTTAACTTCTTGACATCTAAAGAGCCACCTGTTTCATAGGCAAGGAATTCTTGCCTATTGGAGTTAAGGCACAGGATGAGGCCAATGTGACGAATCATTTCTCCCTGGAACAGACCTGTTTCCATGGACACCCACGTCTGATGTTTCCTGCAAAGACTGCATGCTCCATCTATTCCATAGGACTAAGAGATGCAAGAATTCCTAACCACTTATTTCTTTTCCATACCTCCAAATATACCACCTGGAGCGTCTGTGTTGTTTCTTACAGTGTGGTTGAAGGTAGTTTAGGAAGACAAATCAGGCTTCATCTTGACTCAAGATGAAGTGGGTTACTAGCAAAGCATGAGGGGCACCTGTCATCCAAGACTTATTAAAAACATGTCAGGTGCATTACTTTTTGAATGTGCTAAATGCCCCGAGGCATATACAAGCTGCTCTCATTGTAACTTAATTGTAGTTGCTAGCATTTATTGAGCACTTGGTATAAGCCAGGCACTGTGATAAGTAAGTAAACCTTCTAGAGATGGTATTTAAAGATCCATGACCCTTTTGTTTTGTAGCACACATTGCGGAATAGCTTGCAACAATCTGCCCAGTTGAACCTCCATGAAACATCTGAGAGACCACGTGGGTGTTCTCATTCGAGATATCCCCTCGGGAGGGCTGACTTCTGTGAGTCTCCAAGTCTCTTGGTTTTCAGGAGTTCTAATACCACCCTACATGTGCCCCTCTCATGAATATTTCCACTAGGCATATTACATGGCAGCAAGGAATATGGGAAGAATTTAAGACACCAAAAACTAAATTTCAACTCACATAATAACCCATCCTATCTGCCTTAAAAAAAAAAAAAAATCAGCTAAAGGAGCAGAAACCTGGCCAGAACCTAGCCAGTGTGAGCCTGGAAATGGTGTAAGAGAATCATATCCACAGCACGCCTGGCCCTGAACTTGCAAAACCCTGCTCTAGGTGGGAGGTGGAGGGGAATCCCCCTATGCCCACGGGGCCCTTGCCACTAAAGCAGTCTGGACCGTGGCTCTGTGCTCCTGAGGGTAGAGCAGGGTGGCTCTCAGTGTACGTACTGAAATAAAATGGCAGCGCTGAGTAATTGTGGGCTTCCCGGTAGGCGATCAGGTTGATTTCATGTTGCCGCTGCTGAGCCTGAAGGCGGTGCTTGGCTCGGCGGTGATGACAGACGCAGCAGCAGCTCAAGATGATGATGATGGTCCACACCAGCCAGAACCCTGAGGGATGGAGAGGCGAGACAGAGGCAGGCACACACAGTGAGTACCAGCCAGACATGGCAGCTCTCAAACTAAAAGGTCCAAGACAGGGCCTACAGGGTTCAAGCTGGCATTGTCATATTTCATGGTAACTTTATGTCTAAGCCATGTGTTCATAAAAAAATGTTTTCACTACAGCAACAGACGAATGGCATGGAAGAAGGCAGGAATGTGAGCAAGACTGCACAGGAGGTCATGTACTCCAGAGTGCTTTAAGGGCCTTGGGGGAGGGAAGAAGCCAGGGCTTCTCTCCTGGTCCTGTGCTTTAGGTTTGTTTTTGTTTTATTTTTGTTTTTTGTCAGTGTGGCACTATCCCTGCTCTCTTCAGCTCAAGGCTAGTGCTCTACCACTTGAGCCACAGCACCACTTCCGGTTTTCTTCTGGTGGTTAATTGGAGATTAGAGTTTCATGGACTTTCAAGCCTGGGCTGGCTTTGAACCATGAGCTTCAGAGTAGCTAGGATTACAGGCATGAGCCACCGACTCCTGGCTGCTTTAGGTTTTTTAATATTTTTTTTTATTGTAAAAATACTGTTCAGTTACATGAGCAAGGTAATGAGTATATTTCCTATCAAGCTTTGTTACCTCCTCTTTTGTTTTTCCCCACCATCCCTTCCCTCCCACCTCCACTACTACACCCCCCCCCCCAAATTGTAAAGCTCATTTTTCAACAGAGTGTCTTGTACATCTCATTGTTACAATGCGCCAACCTGTATCCCTATTTAAACATTTTGTTCTTTCCCTTCCCCTTCCCAAATTAGAAAAATGTATATACAAGATGAAGGGCACAGACATCAAATACAATGAAAACAGGGGTTATACTGTGGGGGAGGAACATACAAAGAAACAAAAAAATCACATGGTACATTATAAATATGTTAGAAACAATGCAAGAAAGAACCCCTATCTTGGGGTTCATTTGCTTTAGGTTTTTGAGGGCATTAAATACGCTCTTCTGGGGTTGGGAATATGGCTTAGTGATTGCTTGCCTAACATGCACGAGGCTCTGGGTTGGATTCCTCAACACCACATAAGCAGAAAAAGCCAGAAATACTGCTGTGGCTCAAGTGGTAGAGTGCTAGCCTTGAGCTGAAGAGCTGAGGGACAGTGCCCAGGCCCAGAGTTCAGGCCCCACGACTGACCAAAAGAAAAAGAAAAAGAAAAAGCCAGAAGTGACACTGTGGCTCAAGTGGTAGAGTGCTAGCCTTGAGTGCCCTGAGTTCAAACCCCAGGACTGGCAAAAATTAAAAAAATAAAAAATAAATGTTCTTCTTCCTCTCTTAATAGATCTGAGAGAATGCTATTTGACTTTCTTGGTGCTCTATTCCAACTCCCCTCTCTCCTCTTCCATACACCAATTCAGACTAGTTACTGAAAGGAGCTTCAGGTGTCCCTGATATGGGAATTCTTAGGCTTTTCCCTATGTGTATACCTCTGTAATACAAGAATCACTAAAGTTAGAGGTGGAAAATTCTAATTACCTCAGGCCTATCTCTTCCTGAGAGTGTTAATGACTTCCTGCTCCATCCACTGCTCTCTATAATCCAGTACAATTCCATCTCCCACTGCCACAAACAATCTACTTCCACCTCCCTTTGGCTTGCGCTTGCTTGCTTGCTCAGACTCAGGGCCATGAGCAGCCTCCTTTCTTCCTCTCTACTCTAGGGAGGGCTGGAGGAACAGCAGATCCATGGTTCTCATCTCCCTCTGTGCTGGCTCTACAACAACTCTAATAAGAACCCCTCACCTATTTTCAAATATAGGTAGAAAGTGCTTTTAAATACCATTGAATGAATGATTTTGCTTACAATACTACATACAGATGGGGGAAAACACACACACACAAAATAATCTATTTAAATGGTGGCTTATAAGAAATCCAATTTCTTTTCTCAATTATTTTTGTCTTTCAAACTATAAAACTGGAAAGAAATGCAACTTTAAAAGTTATATATGGAAGCTGGGTGCCGGTGGCTCACACCTGTAATCCTAGCTACCCAGGAAGCTGAGATCTGAGGATCTCAGTTCAAAGCCAGGCTGGGCAGGAAAGTCTGTGAAACTCTTATCTCTAATAAACCACCAGAAAACTGGAAGTGGCACTGTGGCTCAAATGGTAGAACACTCGCCTTGAGCTGAAGTGCTGAGGGACAGTGTCCAGGCTCATAGTTTAAGTCCCACAACCAACCAACCACCACCAACAACAAAAATAACAGGAAGCCAGGTGCTGGTGGCTCATGCCTGTAATCCTAGCTACTCAGGAGGCTGAGATGTGTGTGTGTGTGTGTGTGTGTGTGTGTGTGTGTGTGCGTGTGTGTATGTGTGTGTGTGCGCGCGCGTGCCTGTGTGTGTGTGTGTGGCCAGACATGGTTACATAAAAGCCTAGGTAATACAGTGAGACTCTGTATCCAAAACACACACACACACACACACACACACACACACACACACACACACACACACACACACGGGAAAGCCAGGTGCTGGTGGCTCACGCCTGTAATCCTAGCTACTCAGGAGACTGAGATCTGAGGATCACGGTTCAAAGCCAGACCAGGCAGGAAAGTCCATGAGACTTATCTCCAATAAACCACTAGAAAACCGAAATGGTACTGTAGCTCCAGTGGTAGAGCCCTCGCCTTGAGCTGAAGAACGCAGGGATAGCACCCAAGCCCAGAGTTCAAGCCCCATGACAGACAAAATAATAATAATAATAATAAAGAAAGAAAGAAAAAATAAAGGGATGGAGTATAGCTCTGTTGTGAAGCATTTGTTCACCTAGCATGGGTTAAGCCCTGGATCCCATCCTCACAATACAAAATTAATTAATTAAACAAAAGTACATATGGACAGAAAAGGAAGAGTTCATCATGAGGGTATTCTAAATGGCAGATGGTAAATTTTCTGATACCAGTGCCTTTATTTGTTGCTCGTTATTTCCTAAGGTTTCCAAGATAAATACATACTTCTTTGTAGATTTTGTTTCTGCAAAAAATTATCTTTGAATGATTTTAAGGTGCATTGTTATTGAATGAGAGTGGCTAATTCTGCTCAGTTTTTCTGCTAATTCTGCTCAGTTGAATAACTTCAACATTATTGCATTACACATTAAATATATATTTTAGTCACCTATTTTGTGATTATAAATTCATGTTTGCCATTTTTGCCAGTCCTGCAGTTTTAACTCAGGGCCTAGGCACTGCTCCTGAGCTTCTTTTGCTCAAGGCGAGCACTCTACCACTTGAACCACAGTGCCACTTCCAGCTTTTTCTGTTTATGTGGTATTGAGGAATTGAACCCATGCATGCTAGGTAAGCACTCTACCACTAAGAGCCATATTTCTAGGCCCTGTAATTTTTTTTCTTGAGACAAGGTCTTTACTACGTGGTCTAGGATGGTCTGAAACTCTCAATCTTTCCACCACAGCCTCCCAATTGGTGGGATTACAGGCATGTACTGCCACATCTGACTGTTTACAATTTTTCAAGTATTTCTACATCGTGTGTGTGTGTGTGTGTGTGTGTGTGTGTAGCTTGAACTTGTGTGTGTGTGTGTGTGTGTGTGTGTGTGTGTAGCTTGAACTTGGGATCCAGGCCCTGTTTCTGAGGTTTTCGCTCAAGGACAGTACTCTACCACTTTCAGCCACAGTTTTCTGGTGGTTAACTGGAGATTAGAGTCTCACTGCCTTTCCTGTCAGGGTTGGCTTTAAACCAGGATCCTCAGAGCTCAGCCTCCTGAGTAGCTAGGATTACAGGCATGAACCACTGGACCCCTGCTTTTCCTTCACTTTCATCCATACAATATTTCCAAAGAATGCCGGGCGCTGGTGGCTCACGCCTGTAATCCTAGCTACTCAGGAGGCTGAGATCTGAGGATCGCGGTTCAAAGCCAGCCCGGGCAGGAGAGACCATGAGACTCCTATCTCCAATAAACCACCAGAAAACCGGAAGTGGCGCTGTAGCTCAAGTGGTAGAGCGCTCGCCTTGAGCTGAAGAGCTGAGGGACAGCGCCCAGGCCCAGAGTTCAAGCCCCACGACCGACAAAAAAAAAATATTTCCAAAGATCCTTAGTGATATTTAGCATATGATATCTAACAACATCTCCCCACAAAGCTTCCCTCTACCAGGCAAGACAAGAGAGCAGTGGCCATCAAGCTGTGGCAAGCTGGTAACACAAAACTTCACAGCACTTAATTTTCGTTGTTGTTGTTTTGTTCAGTACAGGGGCTGAACTGAGATCCTCATACTCGTACTTGGCTTTTTTTCCTCAAGGCAGTGCTCCACCACTTGAATCACATCTCCCCTTCTGACATTTTGCAGGTTAATTAGAGATAAGAGTCTCAGATATCAAGCTCCTGCGTAGCTAAGATTATAGGTATGAGCCACCAGTGCCCAGCTCACAACAGTGAGACTTTTTTTTTTCCCCAGTGAGGCCTTGTAACAGAGGTAGAATCAAAAGGCAGTGGACAGAGGCCTTTTTTTCCTTTATCCATCAACAGACAGAAAAACTGCATTTCTAGCCAGTATTTACACTTTAATTAAGTCTCCTGGTTGGCCCTTCTCAGATTCACTACTGGAACTTGCTTAACTCCCATTCTTTCCTAGCATTGATGGCTGGTTTAAGAATAAATCACACTGGGCAACCTTCAGAGAGTGGCAGAGAGGGCATGAAGAAGTTATAGGAATGAACTAGCTGCCAAGGCAGGTTTGTAATCTTCCTTCCAGTATGAGGCTGGATTAGAGGAGGGCGTACAAATAAACACAAGCATCCTGCTCAACACATACCAGAGTCAATCTACATGATTCTGGCCTACCTATTGTTTTGTATTAACTATACTCAACAAAAATCTAACAATCTTTTATATATTCCTGGGTTATTTTGTGCTTTATCTTTTTTTTCCCCCCAAAACCTCAATAATTTTTTTTATTGTGAAAATACCATACAGAGGGATTACAATTACATGGG